ACACTACATACTGATATACACCTGAACATCAGCAGGAGAGGACTCTTTAAAGTAGAGACACTACAAACTGATATACACCTGAACATCAGCAGGAGAGTACTCTTTAAAGTAGAGACACTACATACTGATATACACCTGAACATCAGCAGGAGAGTACTCTTTAAAGTAGAGACACTACATACTGATATACACCTGAACATCAGCAGGAGAGGACTCTTTAAAGTAGAGACACTACAAACTGATATACACCTGAACATCAGCAGGAGAGTACTCTTTAAAGTAGAGACACTACATACTGATATACACCTGAACATCAGCAGGAGAGGACTCTTTAAAGTAGAGACACTACATACTGATATACACCTGAACATCAGCAGGAGAGGACTCTTTAAAGTAGAGACACTACATACTGATATACACCTGAACATCAGCAGGAGAGGACTCTTTAAAGTAGAGACACTACAAACTGATATACACCTGAACATCAGCAGGAGAGTACTCTTTAAAGTAGAGACACTACATACTGATATACACCTGAACATCAGCAGGAGAGTACTCTTTAAAGTAGAGACACTACATACTGATATACACCTGAACATCAGCAGGAGAGGACTCTTTAAAGTAGAGACACTACAAACTGATATACACCTGAACATCAGCAGGAGAGTACTCTTTAAAGTAGAGACACTACATACTGATATACACCTGAACATCAGCAGGAGAGGACTCTTTAAAGTAGAGACACTACATACTGATATACACCTGAACATCAGCAGGAGAGGACTCATTAAAGTAGAGACACTACAAACTGATATACACCTGAACATCAGCAGGAGAGGACTCTTTAAAGTAGAGACACTACATACTGATATACACCTGAACATCAGTAGGAGAGGACTCATTAAAGTAGAGACACTACATACTGATATACACCTGAACATCAGTAGGAGAGGACTCTTTAAAGTAGAGACACTACAAACTGATATACACCTGAACATCAGCAGGAGAGGACTCTTTAAAGTAGAGACACTACATACTGATATACACCTGAACATCAGCAGGAGAGGACTCTTTAAAGTAGAGACACTACATACTGATATACACCTGAACATCAGCAGGAGAGGACTCTTTAAAGTAGAGACACTACATACTGATATACACCTGAACATCAGCAGGAGATGACTCTTTAAAGTAGAGACACTACATACTGATATACACCTGAGAGGAGCACAATATGTCTTCTTTAAAAGGTGCCGTACCCACATTTCTTGTTATTATAACTATTCCATAAAAGAAAGACACAAACACAAATCCTCACATTTAAGCGGCTGGAACTGCTTTACGTTGACATCTTAAAAAAATGACCTACACATTTTTGGAAAAATTGCAGTTGATTAAATTCCTGTTGATGGACTTTGGTGTTATATCCACCCAACAACTGGAGCCCAAACACAGACGGCACCTGAAGCCTCGGCACGGCAGCATCCGACGACGAGCCAGAAAATAACAGATGTTACCAAAGCAAATGTTGGGAGTGCAGCTCTGCAGCTAATGAGTGGATCTGCGGGCTCTTTTGCAGGTGACTTATGTTAGTGCTCAGCTGCTGCGCACGAGGATGAGTGGGGCTGTATTGATCCGCTGTTTTGAACCCCGATCGATGCCACCGCACAGATCTTAGCCGTGTTTTTCCAGGTCAAGCCTGATACGACACGTGATCTCCCTGTCCAGATTCAATTAATATCAAATGATACTGTGAGATAAATGACCTGCCGGAGACTTACACTCACCCCGCTGCTGCACGCTACGAGTTTATTCAATTACGAGATAATTGAACATCAGTGAAGCCGAGGTGCAACAATATGATTGGGATTCATTACAGAGAGAAAACGTGCCGGGGCGAGTTCGCTGCGCCTCAAAAGTTCTTTGAATAAGAATGAGTTACTGAATTAATGAGATATGCCTACAGACAAGAAGTCAAGCTTAAAAAACTCACTGCTACTCTCTCTATCCTCCACTACCCAGAAACAAACACTTACTCTGCCTGTCTCCTATCAATATCAATAGCTCTATTTCAGGAATGAACTGTCTGTGTGTACACTATGAACTATGGGTTATGGTGAATAACAAGATGTGTTCACAAAACAACACAACACCCTAACACACCCTCTTGAATTTGCTCTAATTTAGAGAAACAGTTTGAGGAAAATAGAAAAAAAGTCCTATTTTCTATTTCTATAAAAAGGCATCGCAATGTACAATGGTGCCATTTAAGAATTTCCCCCCCAAATAAGCCAAAAAAAACAACCTATCCATCTTAAACCTATCATGATTTCTGCGCTGTTCCCATCCTGTAGTGTGTGTAGTGCCTGAAACGCCTCCATTGGACTCCTCTGTTCACTTCTGTAACATAGTGACATCACCCTGTAACACTTGTGCTTCTATTGGCTAGCGCTCCAACACATTGTACGCGATAGACTAAGAGGCGGGACATCTCTAAGCAGTTAACCAATCACAACAGAGCCGGCCAGCTAACCAATCAGAGCAGACTGGGCTCTGGTTTCAGACAGAGGGTGAAAAGAGGTGGGCAGTATGAGAAAAATAAAGAGCTTTTTGAACATTTAAGTCAAAATAAATCAAGTTTATTGCCAGGTACATTTACACATACAAGGAATTTGCTTTGGTGTTAGAATGCAACACCAGACTATAAAACACTACAGGAGGAGGAAGACAAATACCCAAGAGGTGCTCATTTGTCTCACTGTTACACATCAATACAGAAATCCTCCATTAATTACTTTCAGCAGGAAGGAGAGAGGGGACTTTATCTCACCCATCACAGAGGGGATAGTCAGTTCTGTGTATTGGGTATAATTGATGATGTGGCGTTTAAATAACAGTCTGTTGTTAATTGGATTTGACTGAAAAATGAGCCACGCTGCACTTAATCAATGTCGCTGAGTGTCTGTGATGTAATGACGGGCCAAAATCCCATTTAGGTTCGGCATGCGAGGCCTGGAGATAACGCTTTTAGAAAAAAAACCTCATTGTTATTTAATATATCTTAACTATTATTCATTCCTAAACAGATTATGTAATACTTGCATAATAGGCAGACTAATAAGAGTTTTCTCAAAGAAGGTATGGCGGTTAATGAGATTCACCACCACCGCCGTTTAATTCATCTATATGGTAATGTTTTATGACGCGAGGCAATAGTAGAGCGATGTGCAGCAGAGTCAGCAGGAGCCGTGTGACTTTCAGCTGCAGACGGAGGGCCGAGGGTTTCATCACGGAGCCGCTCTGCCCCTGGATCAGAGTCACAGTGAGGAGAGGCTGTGTGGTGGCAGCGTTCGTACAGTGCACAGCAACCAGTGCATCCCAGAAGAAACAAGAACACATTTTTCTCAACGAAAGAAAAATGATTAGCTGATTCTGCGATGAGATACGTTTTTATTCATTCGTCAATTTCACTGCAGACAAAATTGCACCAAGTCTCTGAATGTCCCTTAATGTCAGCCTGATTATGTAGAGGTGGAATTACATGTACTCAAATACTACATGTTTGAGGTCCTTGTACTGACATGTTATTTAGGTACTTTTATCCAAAGCGACTTACATTTCAGACTGAGAGGAAAATCATATTCAAGACTCTCTCTGTGCTTTTATTCTGAAATACACTAGCCACTAAAATGACTTTTACTCTGAAAAACAAGAGGCAAAAGATCCACTATCAGTTTTAAAGGTCTGCTATTATGCTGAATCCACTTTTATACATAAATAGGTCCCGAATGTGTTAAGAGACATGATGTATGAAAATATGCAGTACTGTACTGCATATCTACACAGTATTTTAAAAGTAAATTGTAAGTACATTGACTTTAAATGGACAAACTACAACATACAAATGATGACCAGTATTTGTTGGTGACAAAACAGGTTAATATTATAATCTGTGGAAAGAGCCATTATGCACACTGAGGACTTTGACACTTCTGTTCTTCTACTGAAGCACGATTTCTATTCAGGACTTTTACTTGAAACAGCTTATATTTTCAATTTGGTATTTCCACTTATACTTAAGTATAGTATCTGAGTAGTATTTCCACCGTTGTTAATAGTGCATGGGATAAAAAGAGGAGGAAGAGGAAGAGGAAGAAAGGTTGTAGTAGCAATTAAAAAACGCAAAAGAAAAGCTGAGCACCGAGGAGATGAATTTACGAGGAAAAGATGGAATCTGCTGATATGATAATGGTCCCTCATGGGCCCTTGTGGCGAATACATTTACGTTGTGTAATTTTGTCCTGGGACAGAGAAGAGAGTTATGTCTTCTTTTACCTTATCACACAAAACGTTTCTCGACGAGATGAGAGCATCAGAGAGAAGAGATAGTCGAGACGGCGAGATCGAGATCGCTATCGAGTCGCTAGCGAGACTATCGCTCTCTCATCTCCGCGCTATCTAGATAATCTCTAGCTATCTAGCTCTCTACCATCTCTCTAGCTAGCTCTCTAATCTCTCTCTCTCTCTCTCTCTCTCTCTCTCTCTCTCTCTCTCTCTCTCTCTCTCTCTCTCAAATCGAGAACAAACACAAGCGGTCACACACTTCCACCACAAAAATCTCATTCTACAAATCCTTTAATTACCTGATCAATGCCTGTAGAGCCAAATTAAGCCGATAGTCGATGGGGTCGGGGTTGAACGTCCACTGATGCCTCTGATCAAAGTGCACACTGTGCTAAAAACCCCTGGGATTAAAGCGTTCATATGTAAGCTCCACCTTGAACCATTATCCTGACCATCCTGACCCTTAAGCAAGCCTGACGTGAGATACAGAGCAAAGAAAAGCCTTTGGAAGTTGTACACCATCCATCACCGAGCTTTTAGGAAAGGCTCGCACTTAGGGAGGCGGAAAACACACGCAGGTGAGATTAGACGGGATGTTTTCAGCGGCGCTCTGCGGGGACGAGGCGAGGAAACTGAAATAAAAACAGCTGTCTTACCTTGTGTTTTGCCAGCCAAAGTCTCATCCCGGCGTCTCAGAAGTAGCATGATGGTGCGGCCTGGGACTCCTCTCTCCCTCTCATAGCCTCAGACTGAGGGAGGCTGAACTGAACGAGAGAGAAACAGAAAAACAACATAAATATTGATTTCAAGATGCAGAAAGAATGAGCAGAAAAGTTAGCAATTGTTCTTTTTAAAAGGCTCGAAGCACAATGAAACCCAGAAGACTTGCTGAAACTTTCAGATGTCTATCCAGCAAGATGGTTTCCTTGATTAATAAATGACACCTCATTATCAAGATACCAAATAGAGAGGTGCAGGAATGAGTCATTAAACCCAGAAATGAGTTGAATGAGTCAGCATTTTAGCACTTCCGGTTGCCTTTTCTCAAAGTCAATGGTTTTATATGCGTTTTTGGTTGATTCTGTAGTCCTGAAGTCAAGTCAGATTTGTTTTTGGTTTAATGCCCTAAATAAGGTGTCCATGTTTAATGAATGATACGTCTTTATCAGGATACCTAAGACAGTGAAGCAGGAATGAGTTCTAATACCCAGAAATTAGTTTGCATTTCCGGGGCCCCTAGTCTTAAAGTCCAATGTTTTTGAATGTGTTATTGGTTAGATTTGTTCGTCTTGAAGTCAACATTTCTCAGATTTATTCTTGATGTAATGGCTTTAATAAGGTGTCCATGATTAATGAATGAAATCGTGATAGGGTGGCGTAGGAATCAGGAATCAGTTCTGGTTTTGTGTGTAGTTAGAAGCCTGAACTAAGGTTTGTAGGTAACACAAGCTTACGAGATTTCTCAGGTTTATTCTACGACATAAAATACCTCAGTTAATACCCCACTGGTGAACCTCTGAAGGTTCTACTGTATGTGCCATAAATAAGGGTGGTTACTAACAAGTGTCTTAATGAGACGACTAAACGTCATCACGCCAAATTAGCTAACTTAGCGGTGGTGACGTGAAGTCATGTGACCGTGATGCAGTTCCTTTATAGCCTAACGTTAGCTTTTTGCTTCTGGTGATTGCATTTCAGCTTCATAAAGTAAAGTGGTGTTGATATAGGGAGATTATCCTGCCGATCAAAAAGTGTAAGTATAAACGTTTGCTTGTCACAGATCTTATTTTCGGAAATATTCCAAAATCCAATTAGCTTTTCGTCAAGGGAACCATGCGATGCTAAATTCCTGTCTGGCTACAAACATACGTCGTCACTGCACCACTCTATTTGGCTTTTGTTGAAGCAAATTCAGATGTCCATGAACGTTTTAATCTCTCCTCCACGTCGTAATCCTTTCAGTTGATTGGGAACAAAGAGTTGGCACTGGGAGGGGAGGAAACTCACAGCAGTTTTAGGTAAAATCCTCGACGGGTCAAGAGGGTAAAGCAGCAATTTCGAGGTAATTGTACTCCACAGGAGCAGCTTCACTAGGGTTCTCCCCTTCGCTCCTCCGAAGAGACGTTTGGCGTCGCTTGTTTTTCCGACGTCCGCCAGTCTGTTATTGGAAAAGCAGAAGATGGAGGACGAAGGGTTAGAAACGGGTCACAGTCAGTTCGACTCTAATAAAAACCATAATGCTCTCTGCAACCTCTGACCTGCCCCCTCAGAATGAATAATGATTCAATGAGGTGAATTTAAAACGCCTAACTCAATCTGAATAAAGCTATTTCTGCTAGAGGTGGGAGAAGTACTCAGATCTTGAGTAAAAGTAGAAGTACTCAGATCTTGAGTAAAAGTAGAAGTACTCAGATATTGTACTTGAGTAAAAGTAGAAGTACTCAGATCTTGTACTTGAGTGAAAGTACCAGAGTGTAGGAATACTCTGTTACAGTAAAAGTCCTGCATTCAAAATGTTCCTCAAGTAAAAGTATCAAAATATAGTGAAAGTAGCGACAGTAAAAGTAGTCGTTGTGCAGATTGGTCCATTTCAGAATAATATATATGATATGTTTTATAATGATTGATCATGAAAGTGTTCTCAAAGCTGGTAAAGGTGCAGCTAGATTGAATGACTTTGTATACTGCAGGGTAGCTTGTGGATTTACTCCAGGTGGAACTAAAGTCTGATTTAACACTTGATTATATTTCACATCATTCATCCACATCTGTAAAGTAACTAGAGGTATTAAGTAAAAGTACACGATTAACCTCTGAACTGTAGTGGAGTAGAAGTACAAATTATCATAAAATGGAAATACTTAATTTTGAGAGACTGAATTTAGTTAATTTACACTTCTGATTTCTACTCTGTAAAAACAACGCCTCATTAATTTGTTTAAATGCATCTCACATCTCTCTTTAGTGAACTGTGTGTGTGAGCGAGGATAGAGGAGAATCCAGCCCAGTGTTATAAATAATACATTTCCTCCCAAATTTGCTGTAGTACTAAATTGTCTCTGCCTTCATCCCCCCCCGAAAACCGCCCAACTACAGCACGTACTAGATCAGAAGAATAATAAATAGCTTTTATTAATCCAGATTATACAAACGCTATGAACCCCACACAGAGTCCATATGAGGGTGTGAATTGAAGAGCCATACTTAGGTAAATTAATGATTAATTGAAATATGTCGATGAATAATAAACGAGTCTCTGCGGGGTAACAGATTGTACTTTTCATATTTAATAGATTGATGGGCCCTCGCGCAAACTGCACAACATGTACACACACGCAGTAATCACGGATTTGTCACGTGTTTTTTGCAACCCTTCATGAAACAGAAGAGGTGAACGTACAGTAGATTAAAACATCAAAGCAGCCCCAGGATTTCTTAGCTTCCACTAATCCCACAAAGGGTGCTAAATGTTGCTTTCCTGTACACACTCCCACATCTTCTCATGGACAGTGTCTCCGTCGATACAAGTCCTCTTAATCAGCTCCGATGAATTATTGAGAAGCCCTTTTTATATCAGATCATGACCCATATTCCACTCGCTTCAAGTGAATGTGCTGCCAATGAAATCGAGATGTACTTCTTTTTTTAAGTCGCCCCACATAGCTCGCTCTCTATTGGCCGAACAGGATTCAGACGCACACTTTGCAGAAAGTCACGAGTGTCATATGATGCTCTGCGGACCGATTTAACAACATGATGGACATGGAGATACACACAATGTGAATCTGAGGTTTTTAAAAGGGCTGTGAACCCTCGTGATTAATCTGGAAACTTCTTCACATTACCAACCTTGACCTAAAGTTGCTCTGGCAATACCAACACCTAAGTTTACCGTGAATTGATGGCAGTGAAAAGGCAAAGGAAGCGGAGAAATCGGCACAAGCTACATGTGTTTACTGACTGGAGACCGCTGGATATCAGTAAGAACCGTCACTACAAAACGGGCGAAACGCAGGAAAGGCATTTTGGCAAACCACGCGTCAGTTCCTTAAGATGCACAAGAGTGGGAGATAACCAACAGGGTCACCACTGATAATGGTTGCAATATGATAGCGGCAGAGAATATTCCCTGTATAACTCACATATTAAACAGAGGGCAATCACTTTACAGATACTACTTCGACCATATGTTTAGCGCACATTATACAGAGGGCAATCAGAGCATCTCTCTTTTACAGCTGGTTTGTCGATGTCGAAAATGTGTCATGCCAATAATTCCGAAATCATGTTAGAAAACCCTCTGATTTCCGTAACAATTTGTCATGCCTTTCTTTATCACATCACCACACGTGTATTTACTTTATCTCCCGTTAATATACACGTAAAAACTAGCATAGACTAGCAACTAATTGTTATTTTTCTGAATCGATTGACAGCACTAGTTTTAACCCCTAACTCCAATCATTTGTACATGATTTCGTTTTCTGACGTTGCTTTAAAAACACAGCGATCCCTAGAGTGGAAGTTACTTGAAGATAAGATATCTAATATTGCCGGTTTCATTAAGTCCGACGCTCAGAGGCAGACACAGGAGTCGTATTGTCGTCTCATTAGGTGTAGCACATTCGGAGGAAGGAAAGACGGAGAGAGAATCCGTAGGAAGAGGGGATGGGATTATGAATCTCCTTATACCCTGCTGTCTCCTCTCCTGGCCTGTTTATCAATGACGACTGCAAACACGGTGCCTGAGAAATCTCTTAAGCTCTGTTTGGAGACTTTTGGCAGGCTCCTTTTTCCACGTAAGCCTCTGGCATCAGACACTAAAAATTGACAGCAGGCTTGAAATATGTGCTCGTGCCCCCCGGTCACCAATAAAAATGTGGTGGTCATGCTTACACAAACATTATTCATTCAGAATTAGGATATTACACTAAAGAACAAACATTAACTACCGTGTCACTTTTTGGCAGGAACGTTCGTTTAGAAATACTAGGAATAGGATGCTACTTTCCTGGAAAAAGGTCAAAAAACATTCTTGTTTTTCTCATAAATGATCACAAATACAATCGAGAGTAGAGTAGAAACGAATGGTCAACTACATAATAGAAAAATAATCACTTATTGCTTATTTGCCAATGTATTAATACTTTAAAAGTAATGTTATCATGCAAAAATGGCAAAGAAAACGTTTGAAGCCTCTCTTGTTTAAATGAAATCAATACTTTCTGGTTATTGACACACAAAATAAGACATTTTAAGTCATCGCCTTGGACTTAAGAAACTGGGATGGACATGTTTCACTATTTGTTTAGATTATATAACACAATTAAATCAATTTATCTAGAAAACAGTTGTTTGCAGACCCTAATCCATAACATGGCAAAAACCTACGATTCCACCCATAATCGCCATCAAATCGCCATTCTTTTATTTGCATAAAAATGTAATTTCTAAATAGTTTAGACAACTAAAAGATCAATTACAATGTAACCATCTATTTCTGATATTTATAATTCATTTAATCGATTTATCAATTTATCTATAATAATGGAAATAATGGCCAAACGCTGGACCTGACCAAAAAACGATGTTTCTCTCCGAACTCGCCAACAAATCAATATTAAAATTGCATCAAAGTGAGTTTTCTAAACTGTGTAGACACCCAAAGGATCGGTTAAGACTTAAAAACACCCATTTTCTGAGATTACAACACGATTAAATGGATTAATCTAGAAAATAATCTGCAGATTCATCGGTAATGGAAATTATCCTAATCCAAAACCTTACAATGTATGGCTATGCTTTCCTCCATCGTCACCAACAGAACACCTCTGTACAGTTGCATCAAGGTGAGGTTTCCATACTGTTCATTTTGACACTCAAAAGATCGGTTAAAAGCATCTACTTTCAGACATTTTACAACGCGATCAAATCGATTTCTCTACAGCTTCGGCCAATTCATCGTTAATGGAGGTGATCGTAACTTTCAACCCCAATCCAAAAACTGACAAATCGATGTTTTTCACCGACAAATAACCACCGTATTTGTATCAAAGGGATGTTTATAAACTGATAATGGAAGTAGTAGTTGCAGCACTAATCCAAAACCTGACAAATAACTGCGTTTCCCGCCATAATCGCCATCGAAAGCATCAAAGTGAAGTTTCCAATCGGTTCTTTCGGACATTCCTAGGACTAGTCAATCTTTGCATCACTATCGTCAAATCAACTACAGTTTTCCAGCAAAATGGGACAAAACCAACTCATCAACACCAGTTTTGCTTCTGTATCCCTCTACTACAGTCAAGGATATTACATTATACATTAAGTTCCTCATATAATTGCATCAAAGTAATGGTTACAAGTTGTTTGTTTGTACACTCAAAGGATCTATTTCCAGATATTTTATAGTGCGATTAAAAACAAAATGTGCGGAAAATTGGCGGATTGATCGATAATTAAAGTAATAGTTGCAGCCCTAATCCAAAACCTTCTAAAAAAAACGTGTTCCCCGCCATAAACGCCAACGAATGCATACATTTGATGTTTCATTTGGACACTCACAGGATTGGTTAAAACCTAACCATCCATTCTACATTTTACAATGCAAATTAAATCAATTAATCTAGAAAATTAACAACAGATTAATCGATCATGGAAGTAGCAGTTGCAGCCCTAATCCAAAACTTGACAAAGAGATATGTTTCCCACAATGATCGCCAATATATTCACACCCAATAGATATTTCTAAACACTCAAAGGATTAGCTAAAAATAAACCATCCACCTTTGCATAACTAAAGTCAAACAACTACAGATTTCCAGCTAAAATGGGACAAACCCATCCCATCAACGCCAGTTTTGCTTCTGCCTCCCCCTACCCCATTATCAAGACCATTACATCACAAAGCCAGTGTCTCCTCTTCATGAAGACCGTACTGTCCTTGTGACGGTTACAGTAAAACACAGCCGTGTGTCAGAGGCAGACGTCCATTTTGCAGCAGGCAGCTTTGACAGCTTTGTCAGCAACTACCTGAGCTTAAGTGCCCATCTGTAGATCCACTACAGGGGTCACATGTGTGCCGAGCAGAATGGGTAATGGTCCCGGGTTAAGGGAGCAGGTCCCAGGTGGGTTTCACAGGTACAGAGCCTGTAACCTTGACTGTGCAGTGACACACACACACACACACACACACTGTATAAATCCAGAGTGCTGTCAGCCAAATGATGGGAAAGTTAATCAGAGAAAAGGGGTCAATCGTCGATGCACCTATGATGGATAGATGGACAAAGTGTGTGTGTGTGTGAGTGTGTGTGTGTGTAGAGAATGTGTGAGAGTGTGTGTGAGTGTGTGTAGAGAGTGGGCTGAGTGGCGTTTTGCTGCAGACACACAACACTAAAAGATATTCTCCCGCTGTGAAGCACTTTGTGTTTCTTTGAAAGATAAATATAATTGCATTGAGAAAAGGGCAATGCAGTCTGTCTCTTTATGCAGATTACCTTATTGATCTGCCTATATATTCCTCACACACAGACACACACACACACACACACACACACACATACACACACACACACACACACACACACACACACACATACACACACTCCTCAGCTTTAATTAAGAGCGTGGAGCAGTACCGAGCAGATGATTTGATAGGCAGAAGTGGCTGCTCTGTCAGGTGGAGTGCGGCAAATAAGTCCAGGAGGAGGATGGAGGGGAATATTTTAATGAATAAAATGTATTGTAAAAAAATACAAAAAAATAAATGATGAAGTCTGAGGGAATTTACTGATAATCCCCCATTCATATTCCACCTAACCCTCGTACATTACACACGCACACACACACACACACACACACACACACACACACACACACACACACACACATGCAGAGATAGTGTATTAATTATATAAAAGAATACTATAGTGAAATCTACATCCATTAATCATCCAAAACATGCAACAGCAATAGCATGTGTGGATTTAAAGCACCGTACTCACCTATTTAACCCCTTAATAATAAGAATATTAACTAATGGATTTTGTAGGCCGGAGAAATTGTACGGATCGTAGCTATTACAGCAACTCATAGACAAAGAAGTTGCTTGAGTCTTTAATCCGCGTTAGTGAAATCCCATTAAGATTCAATGGTCGACAATGGAAATCAGCTTCAGTCCATTAGAAAAAAAGGGTCCAGAATTTAGGACAGATTTACTAAATGTTAATTTTTTTTTTCTTTTTCAATCAAATCCAGGATTTAAAGGGTAATTCCACGGGAAAGCAGCTATATCCAGAGTCGCTCAAAAAGTCCCACTTGTCATTATCTTCGTGTAATGAAGCGGAGAAATCTCCTTTAGGGTAAAGAAATATGTATAAAGAGGAGATGAACAAGGGAATGAGTTGTGTTTGCATCTGTCTAATGCCTCTCACACACACACACACACACACACACACACACACACACCAGATTATCACTTTACAGCCAGCCTATCTTAGTTTTTTCGTAAATGCAAAATTATTCCCCGACACTATTTCGATAAATAGAAGTAGTCGAGGCGAGGAATTGCTCAAAGTATGTCACAAAATAATGCAAGCAAGTCAATGACGTGTGAGAGGTGAAGACATGTTTGACACTACGGATGAAACATGAGAAATAAATCAATGAGTGGATACAGAGGGGGGTGGAAGGATGGGAGAAAATGATGCGGAAAGTGAAATTAAATGAGATTAAGAAATGAGATTAAAAAGGTGAAAAAATAAAGTGAACGGGGGAAACAAACGGGGAAAATCCTTTGGATGATGAAGCCAGGTTTTCTTTTTGTCTAGTCCATTCTCTTTGAGTGCTTGTGTGTGTCTCTCTGCGGAAATGAGCGTCAGTTTAGAAAGAGAGGAGACCGAGAGGGAGGGAGGGAGGGAAAGAGGGCAGGAAGTGTAAAAACACAGATGACAGAAATCGGACGAGCGCTGGATTACAAATTTGCTTTTTCAACAATTTAGCCTTTCCTCACTTTGACCTCACCTCAGGCGAGGGAACTGAAACGCACCTGGGTTTCATAACAATGTGCATTTCTTCCCAAATTCAGATGTGTTTTAGCAGCAAGATGGCAAACAAAAGGACACATGTGTGGAGGACGGTGTGTATTTAAAAAAAGGGGTGTTTCACACGTTTTTAATGGAAGACTTTTTGCAACAACACAGAAATGAGGCAGTCACAAACATGTCACTTTTTGGCAGGAACGTTGGTTTAGAAATATACAAAATAGGAGGCTATATCCTTAGAAAAAGCTCAAAAATACACTCTTGTCTTTCTTATCGATAATCACGAATACAATCCAGGTTATTTTGTTAATGGATTTATGATTAAAAGCACATTTGTCATGCAAAGAATGGCATTGTCAGTCCCTCAAGTGTGGAAATGTGCTGATTGTCTGTCATTTTAAACTGGATATCTTTGGGTTTTATTTGGGTGACGAAACAAGACATTTAAAGTCCACACAGATATGAAGTGTGTTCCCGCGATGGCGGCTGGAGAAGGTGTCTGCTTGATGAGTCACTTGGTGTGTTGACAACATGAGAGAAAAGTCAGGAAGCACAGATAAATGTATGCAGCGGGGTGACGTGAAGATGACATGGCATGAGGCAAGGCATCAGCTGATGGGGAGGGGGAGCCATGGTTACACCACAGATTGTAGACCGTGTGTGTGTGTGTGTGTGTATATGTGTATATGTGTGTATGTGTGTATGTGTGTATGTGTGTGTGTGTGTGTGTGTGTGTGTGTGTGTGTGTGTGTGTGTGTGTGTGTGTGTGTGTGTGTGTGACAATACACAGAAAGACACAGAGACAGACGCTAAATAGACCTACCTATGGTTAGAATAAAGAAGCGCCCCAAAAAGATGCATAGGAGGAAGGTGGGAGGAAAAAAGAGGAGGGGGAAATAGGAAATAAGAAAAGGTACAAAAGTGAATAAATAGAAATTAATGTCCTTAAATGGGAGGAAATTAAAACAGTGGGGGAGCCAGAGAAGTAGACAAAGTTACGGGTGGACAGCGAGTGGAGTGGAGGGGGGGGGGAGGGGAGGGGAGGAGGGAGCGTGGGTTGCAAAGGCAGTGAGAGCGATGGACAAGGGAAGGGAAGACTGAATTAAATAAATAAAAAGGGGAGAAAATAAAAATAAAAAAATAAAAAAGTCCCCCTCCTCTTTCTCTTTTTCTCTCTCCCTCCTTGTCTGGCTCATAAATAGAAGAAATTGTTGACCAGGTAAATGGCGAAATAGATGAGGAGACAGAGGACGGAGAGAGCGAGCAAATGAAAAGGCAAAGCACCTCCCAGGAGCGCGATGAGGAAAAAAAAGAACAAAAAACGAAAGATAAAAGCAAATACTCCAGTGGCCTCCGTTGTCTCCAGTCTGAGTGCGGAAGGGGGGATTGGCGAGTGCCAGTTGTTCCCCTTCCCCGGCTGCCTTTCTTCTGTCTCTCCTCCCAAAAAACACTTCCCATCCAGATTGTCACACACCAAAAAGAAAATCCCTTTTTCTCCTCCTCTAGACTCTCTGAACTCTGGTCTGACTCACACAGGTTAGACGGTGTTGCAGCAGGGGTGTGTGAGGAAGAGGAGATACAAAAAGACCTTTCTGCTGCTGCTGTAGTGAAGCGCTGCCTGCCTCATGAGGAAGGATACTGAGCCCCTCTCTCTCTCTCTCTCTCTCTCTCTCTCTCTCTCTCTCTCTCTCTCTCTCCCGCCCATCCCTGCGAAAAAAGATGGGAGGAGGGCCCACTCGCTGCATTAGTATTCATTGAAAGAGTGTGAAAGAGAGAGATGAGGAAGAGGAGGAGGAGGGAGTGCAACACATGTCGAGGAACACGCCGGTGTGTGAAACTGATAAGAGGCTGGCTCCCCCTACAGTCATCAATACACAGGCTCTGATGATGGGAACGCTGGGAATATGTAGTGTTGTCAATCGCAATGATAATTAAAAGCACTACTTACTAAATACACATGTGGTGTTGGAATAACGAAGGTTTTTCTACTTTCTTATGACGTGATTTGTGATGTATTGGCATGAAGTCTGAACATCTTCCGACACTTCGTTAAAGTAAGGACAAAGCCACTGTCACACATTAAAGGTGGGGTAGGTACGTTTGAGAAACCGGCTCGAGATACACTTGTTGCTATATTCCATGGAATGCTCTTAACATCCCGATAGTAATGAATGTCTTAAGTGCTTTGACAATAAATACATACACAAATGTCATCTGTGGAAGCCGTGGCGCTGTAAAAAGCACGACCAATCATCTGAGCCGGCCCGGCTAAAGTAACTGGATGGCCTACCTGCCTGTCAGCCTTCCATCTGTGCACAAACTTATCTCGTGCCCTCATTGGTCATGTGCGCGTTCGTGTGTGTTGGAGGAGGGGCTCTGTGAGGAAGTGGCAGATTTTTTCCGGTTGTGTATTTTCAAATCTAAAATGTGGAGATTTCCTGCTCCTTTCCTCTGTTTCATATCCAATTAAAATCCGATTTATAATATAATACCCAATAGTATTTGGTTCCCATACTTAAAAAACACGACTCAATCAGCCTTAGGATTTACTCTAAAGAACCAACATTTTTGATGTAGAAATAGGATGCTACCAAATAACTGGGTCTGTGGTCATAAAATATAGCAGCAACAAGTGAAAGATAATTGCCTATTACTATTTCGGTAATGAATTCATCTGTAAAAGTGATTTCCCTGCCTCTCAGGTATGGATATAAGTTTAATATTACATTAAAGTTCATATCTTGGAGAAAAAAAAAGCCAGATTTGAGAAACGAGGATGGACATGTTTTACTATTTTCGGACACTTTATAACGCAATTAAACATAATAATAAAAAATAATCGTCATATTAAACGATATTGCAAGTATTCGTTAGTTACTGGACTGATCCATAACCTGACAGAAAGCTACGTTTCCCGGCACGATCGTCAACAAACGGTATTAAACAAAACGTCTTTGGGCTTTGGACTGAAAAAGCAAGACATTTAAAGCCATTACCTTAGATTTGAGACACTGGGATGGACATTTCATCACACGATTCAATCGATTTATCCAGAGAATAATCCATACATTAATCAATAATGGAAGTAGTTGCAGCCCTAATCCATAACCTGACAAAAAGCTATGTTTCATGCCATAATCGCCTTCAAATCACCAATACATTTGCATTAAATCGATGTTTCCATTGAGACATCTAAGCTTAAAAGGATGTGTTAAGAGCATAGACTGTATGGTTAAGAGTTAACATCCACCTTTGCATAATTATAGTTAAATTACTTGCAGTTTCCCAGCTAAATGGGACATAACCAACCAATCAATAACCAACCCGTGTTATGCCCTCTTAGATGAAACGTCTCTGCAGTGTCACTCAGATATCCCTTTAATCCACCAACAGAATACTAAATAACTCAAATACAAAGTGTGTGTTTATCATCAGTGTGTGACGAACCACTGCTACCGTCAACGCTTCACACTCTCTGTGCTTTCAAATGAGACGTTAAGAAGGAATTTGGGTTCACAACGTCTGCGGTGTTGTGAAAGCAGACGGATCCTCTCCTCTGCATTTTGCCCTCAGCTAAACTCAGTGTTGCCATGGTGACAGATGGCCGCGCTCGAGTGTCCAAATCAAAGCAGCTCACGGAGAGATATAGGAGGTGAAAAACACACATTGATAAAAAGAAAGAAAAGGTAAAGACTGCAGAGTTTCTCCACATTAGATACATGTGTGTTCCTGTTTCGGCCATAAGGAAAGCCAGGAAACGCATTACTGTATTTACTGCCACAGATCACGCTATACTGCATGATTAGTTTGGTTTTTATCGATGACAAAGAGGCCCTATTCTGCTTTTTGTGGTCTTCCCTTTCCTGTAGTGTGTTATATAGGTGTGTGTGCAAGTAAATGGTCTGCAAAGGCTTAAAGAAACGTGTCTAACACTTGAGCTTCTATTGGCTAGCCTAGCGCTCAAACACATTGTACGTGATAGGCTAAGGGGCGGGATATCTCTAAGCGGTTGACCAATCACACCAGCTAACCAATCAGAGCAGACTGGGCTCTGGTTTCAGACAGAGGGTGAAAAGAGGTGCTGCAGCACAGGCAGTATGAGAAGAATAAAGAGCTTTTTGAACATTAAAGCATGGAGACATGTCACAGTAGAGACACTACATACTGATATACACCTGAACATCAGCAGGAGAGGACTCTTTAAAGTAGAGACACTACATACTGATACACACCTGAACATCAGCAGGAGAGGACTCTTTAAAGTAGAGACACTACATACTGATATACACCTGAACATCAGCAGGAGAGGACTCTTTAAAGTAGAGACACTACATACTGACATACATCTGAACATCAGCAGGAGAGGACTCTTTAAAGTAGAGACACGACATACTGATATACACCTGAACATCAGCAGGAGAGGACTCTTTAAAGTAGAGACACTACATACTGATATACACCTGAACATCAGCAGGAGAGGACTCTTTAAAGTAGAGACACTACATACTGATATACACCTGAACATCAGCAGGAGAGGGACTCTTTAAAGTAGAGACACTACATACTGATATACACCTGAACATCAGCAGGAGAGGACTCTTTAAAGTAGAGACACTACATACTGATATTCACCTGAACATCAGCAGGAGAGGACTCTTTAAAGTAGAGACACTACATACTGATATACACCTGAACATCAGCAGGAGAGGACTCTTTAAAGTAGAGACACTACATACTGATATACACCTGAACATCAGCAGGAGAGGACTCTTTAAAGTAGAGACACTACATACTGATATTCACCTGAACATCAGCAGGAGAGGACTCTTTAAAGTAGAGACACTACATACTGATATACACCTGAACATCAGCAGGAGAGGACTCTTTAAAGTAGAGACACTACATACTGACATACACCTGAACATCAGCAGGAGAGGACTCTTTAAAGTAGAGACACTACATACTGATATACACCTGAACATCAGCAGGAGAGGACTCTTCAAAGTAGAGACACTACATACTGATATACACCTGAACATCAGCAGGAGAGGACTCTTTAAAGTAGAGACACTACATACTGATATACACCTGAACATCAGCAGGAGAGGACTCTTCAAAGTAGAGACACTACATACTGATATACACCTGAACATCAGCAGGAGAGGACTCTTCAAAGTAGAGACACTACATACTGATATACACCTGAACATCAGCAGGAGAGGACTCTTCAAAGTAGAGACACTACATACTGATATACACCTGAACATCAGCAGGAGAGGACTCTTTAAAGTAGAGACACTACATACTGATATACACCTGAACATCAGCAGGAGAGGACTCTTTAAAGTAGAGACACTACATACTGATATACACCTGAACATCAGCAGGAGAGGACTCTTCAAAGTAGAGACACTACATACTGATATACACCTGAACATCAGCAGGAGAGGACTCTTCAAAGTAGAGACACTACTCTCCACAGTGCCCTTTTCTCCTCAGCCGACCCGTTAATCAGACACTTAGCTCGCAATCAAACTCAAGCCCAATTGTATTTACAATGGCAAGTGGCGTGTGTCAGGATGAGTGAAGAGCGCAGGATGTTCAGTGGGTGTTTCTCAATGTCGAAGACGCTTCCTTGGTAGGACATGTCCCTCAGAGTCAGGTCCTTCAGAAGCGAGGCAAGAATCCTTCCTAGCCTCGGAAAACAAAGAATGGTGGAACAGGCTAACAGGTGTGCAGGTGTCCGTCATATGCGAGGCCCCGCCTTAAATGGAGCGAGATTTCCGCCAAAGATTTGGAAATTGGTCCGTGCGCAAAGCATTGTGGGGATTTTAAGACCGCGGAGGATACACATGTGCAGCCTCAACATTTCCTCGACATTGAGAAACACCTACTATTTGAACCGTGAACACTTGTGGAGGAAGTATTCAGATTCGTAAGTAAAATTGAAATACTATGTAAAAATTATCTGTAAACTGTTGGCAAATCTTATTGATAACAAAACATAATATTTAAAACGTTTTTTAATTGGCGTAGAAGCATAAATTGACAGTAAAGAAGATACTTAGGCAAAAGTACCTCAGAAATCTTACTTAAGAATAAGCACATTAAGAAATTACCTTACAATAGAAGCAGGAATCCATGTCAGGGAGGCTTTGAGTGTGACCGAGGACAGTCGTTGCAGATTTCCACTGTTTTTGGCTGATTTGGATGGACACACCACGTGGTTCCTCGACCCAATAAACCATCTCTGCATGACCTTTTTCAGAGTTTTAGACAACATCTGTGAACCTGAATTAGAATATACAATAAAAAATGTATAATAAAGAAGAACTCCTGGACAGTTATGGTGCTGAAGTAACAATTCATGTTTTAAAATGTGCACATTTTGACTTTTATTTATATAAATACTTTTGACATTCTTACTTTAACTTCTTATGTGTGTATAGATTGTTTATTAAAATTATTTTATTATTTATTTATTACATTTTTAAATGGTGCAATTGTCACAAAACCCAGGATTAATTCTGATTATTTATCAATGTAATTTCATGAGCTTACATGTTAATTTCTCTATCCACATATGTTATTACAGTACACAGTATTCATTCTACTATACAGTATTTAA